CTGTTGGGCCTATGCCTAGAAACAACATATAAGCCCCGAATTAGAATCCGAATCCTGGGTTGGAAATCTATATATACATATATATATATATATATACAACCTCCACCATTCAGACACATGGCTTTTTCAAATTTAGACGCATGGCATTTTCTAAGAAGTTGTTGTTAAAGCCCACAACCCACTATCACCATTAAGACAAGTGGCCTTTTCATTTTCTAGAAAGCTAAACATGTGTCAATTTCTGAGAAATTCCTACTAAAATCCACAACTCACTACTATGTTTTTTTTATAAATGATTGATAATTTATTAATAATAATCAAAATCAAATTACAAAACAGCCTACCCAAGCAGAGGCATGAGTTGGTACCTCTCCTCAACAACAACAATGTACTACATCAAACTAGGAGATGAGAGTTTACAGAGCTGCCCATAAGAAATGTTCACTTGAAACCCCTTGCTTAGCCAACCCATCCGCTATGGTATTAGTAGCTGTTCTACCCACCCACTGATAATTAACAATAATGTTCCTTGAAACCCAATTAGCTTTCCTCATAATACATGTAGCACCAAATAACTAAAGTTGGATTTTTTAACCAACCCACAACTACTTTGGAGTCTTCTTCAATAAGCAAATTATGATCTCCTAACTAGTTTGTAATCTAAATACCTTGTACCGCAGCTAGAAGCTCAGCTCTAATAGAGTCTCCTATACCCACGGGGCTTGAGAATAAAGCTAATATATTACTATCTTTATCTCTTAGCACCCCTCCTATCCCTGATGGACACGGATTTCCTTGGCTGCTACCATCAAAATTCAGCTTTGTCCAGCCTTCAGAAGGAGGCACCCACATAGCTAGTACCTTGTTCTTCTTGTTACTACTACTAGCCATAGCTATCCAGTTCCTCCAAATGTCATCAAAGGAATCCAATGATCTCTGCCAATGGATTGCCCTGGTCAAAATGCAATCTTTTACATTCTAAAAATTTCTATCATTCTCTTGGAAAATCCTCACATTTCTTTCTTCCTAAATTGTCCACAAAGCAGCAACTCTAATGCACCTCTACATTGTTTTATGAATTTTTGTGGGCCACACAAAGAAGGAAGGGTCAAAGAGATGATCTACGGCTGTGGTCAAATTCTATCTACATCTAAACAAGGCAAAGATCCAACCCCAAATAGCATAAAAAAAAGAATTGGTTAAAAGTAAGTGAGAGCAATCCTCACCATTAGCCTTGCAAAGTACACACTAATTAGGAGACAGACACATAAAAGGCTTTTTCTTTTGCAATAAGTATGAGGTGTTGATTTCCCTATAGAACACCTCCTAGTAGAAAATAATAATTTTAGGAGGTACAGGTTTAAACCAAATCTCCTTAGCTGAAAAACCCAATTGTCCCAAGAGATAGCAAATGAACTTAAAGAATGAGGCATACGTGAAGTAGCCTTTTGGATTAGGGGACCAAAGTCTTACATCAGATCTGAGAGGGTCTAGAAAAACACTTTCAAGTAGTGATAAAAGGTATGGAACACAAGAGAGTTCATTATCCCTCAAACCCCTACGAAACCCAAAGTCTCAATTCAGAGATGATGGAGAAACAGACGTTGGAAGAAAGTGAGAGATTGCTTTATCCTTCTAGCAAGAAAGGGAAAAGAGAGAAGGGAAACTGTCCTTAAGGGCATAATTGCCCACCCAAATGTTTTCCTAAAATAAAACAGAAGTACCATAATTGACATCATACCTAATATAGTTTAGGAAATTATGAAGAATACTCTGAATTGCTTTTCAAGGAGTTGCCAACGTGGCTCGACGCAATACACCGGCATCCCATCCATTTCCCGAGTTGCCATGTACTATCTATCACTTCATGCCATAATCTCTCCTGTTCTAAGGGCCATATCCATAACCATTTTCCTATGAGTGCTTTATTCTTCAAAATTAAATTCCTCAGACCCAACCCATCCTCCTATACACTATTCCCCAATTTATTAAGTGATCATTTTTTTCCTCCCCTAGATACCAAAGAAAAATTCTCCAACTTCTTGGCCTCCCTAATAGGAATCCTAAACACAAAGAAGTAATTGACAGATTTGCTAAGGAAGCTTTCAATAATGTTACTCTACCCCCTAAGGAAATATAGTTCCATTTCCACGAGCCTAACATTTTCTCAAACTTTTCCAGAACTGGGGTCCAACAGGTGCTCTCTTTTGGGTTGGCTCCTAGAGGCAGACCTAAATATTGTAAGGGCCAAGAGGAAATGGGACAACCTAGACACTCAGCTACAGATTCGATGGTACTTTCATCCAAATTTACACATACCACGTAGCTCTTTTCCATGTTTATTTTAATATTTAATACTCTCTTAAAGTGCTTTATCAAAAGTTTGAAATTACTTATTGTTCCCCTATCCCCCCCCCTTCACAAAAGATTATTAGGTCACCAGCAAATTGTAAGTGGGTCACCCTAATACCATTTCTTCCTATCCTCCAACCTCTCACTACTCCTTCCATTAACCAAGACCGAAAAAATGGCAAGAGCTTATGCAGCCCTTTATCTAATTACACCATCTAAATCCAAAACCACAACACCCTAGGATCTCTAACAAGAAACTCCAATCCACATAATCATAGACCTTTTTTAAATCCAATTTACACACAAAACCTTATTTTTTGGACTTTCTCATATCCTCCACACACTCATTAGCTATTAGGATTTGATATGTTATTTGTCTCCCTTGCACGAATGCTCCTTGGGCTTGACTAGTGATGGAGGGTAGCACTACTTTAGTCCTAAAAGATAACACTTTAGTTAGGATTTTGTAAATGCTAGTCACCAAACTGATCGACTTAAAATCTTTAAGATTTTTTGCTTTTTTCTTCGTATGAATTAGAGTTATGAAAGTAGCATTAACTCCAGGGCTTACTTTGTTATTATCCTCAAATTCCTTGAATATAGTACAAAGGTCTTCTCTTACCGCATTCCACCAATCTTGATAAAAAGCCATGGTGAAGCCATCTGGCCCAGGGGCTTTGAATCTTTTCATTGAAAACACTGCATGCTTGATTTCCTCTTCTTCAAAGCTTCTCTCTAACCAGATTACTTGCTCTTTAGACAACCTGGGCCAATCTAGACCTTCCAACCTTAGTCTATTATTCGATGGCTTCCCTGCTATTGATTCAAAGTGTTCCACCAACACTTTGGCTATCTCATCTTGATTTGTGACTTTCTCCCCATTCACTTCTAATTTGGCCACACAATTTTTTCTTCTCCTCCCATTAGCCAATGCATGGAAAAATTTTGTATTGCCGTCATTTTCTTTGATCCATTTGTGTCTTTAACGTTTTGTGGAATCTTACACCTTTCCACTTTACCCTTCTCAAGTCTTCATTCCACTACTCATTAACCTTTCGTTTAAAGCCCGGATGAATCAGCTACATGTTATCAAATCTAAAGGGTTGTGGTCCAAAGCCTATAGTTTCTTGACCTAATAGAATAGGGCAATGATAAGATGTAACTCTAGGAAGGACTTTAGCCACCGAATTCCTCCAATGGTCCTCCCACTCTACATTAAAAAGGAATCTATCAAGTTTGGAGCAAGGGGGGGGGGAGACTTTTCTTGGAAATTGGACCATGTAAAATTAGCTTGTAGAAGGGGTATTTCCTTTAGACCACATGTGTTAATTAATTCATTGAAATTTCTCATGCTTATAGTAATTGTTCTTTGGGATTATTTGATTCATTACAAAACTTAATTATGTTGAAATCCCTTCCACCCAGGCACCACGGGCCATCCCACAAGCCTTGTATTGCATACAACTCCTCCCACATTTCCTTTATTTTCTCTATAACCATTTTTCCTGTAGACATTAGTTAACACCCAAATGAATATGTCTTCCACATTTTTGAATTTTAATGACACAGAGTATCTCCCTATAAGTTCTTCCACTAATTCTACAACATCTTTCCTCCACAATGTAACTATCTTTCATGAGGCTCCCCATGAGGGAGCTAAAGTCCAGTAAACTCCTCGTGATTTCCACACACTTTTAACCCATCTTCTATCCAAATCTGCCAACCTGGTTTCTGTAACATGGCTATATTAGGCTTCTCTCTTCTCAGCATGTCTTTAATTGCCCTTATTTTTCTTGTACTCCCTAACCCTTTCACATTCCAACTAATGATTTTCATAGTAAGGCTCCTTTCAAATGCCCCTTTCTAACCTGGTTCCATCTCACAAATAACTCTTCCTTCTCTCTCCCTTCCACTAAACTCGATATCACCCTCTATCTTTGATATTAGTTTCATCACTTCTAATATCTTTTTCTTTTTCCTTTTCACTTTCCCCTGTCTTTTTAGCCAACCCACTGACTTCACCCACTTCCCCCAACATAGAACTTCTATAACACTCCTTGTTCTGAGGATTTGCTTCAAGTTCCCTACCATCTAACCCCTCCTCCTTTGCTTTATACTCCTTCGATAATGCACATATCTGCTTCCATATTCTTTCTAACTCTTCCTCCAGTTTTTCACCACCATTCAGACATATGGCCTTCTCATTTTTTTGGAAAGCTAAATGCGTGACATTTTTCTGAGAAGTTACTGTTAAAATCCACAACTCACTATCATCATTTTCAATCCATTCATAAAAATGTAAAAAATACAAAAATGGTTATCCACAACCACTTATACCTATATTTATCAATCTCAATTAATTGTTAACCCTCTAGGTATCATAAAAAGAGCATATTCTAATAATTATTGAAAAACTATTTTTTGAAATAAATATTTCTTAAAGTTTTAATAATAATTTTAAATCTTAATAAATATAAATTTAACATTTTTAATTCTATAATGTAAATTTAAAATTACTATTTTCCGTACTTAATACGGGGTCATTCACTGGTGTTGAAGAAAAAGCGTAGAAAATTCGGACTCGAATCGTTCGACTCCTTGGCAAGGTTTAAAAAGCGTAGAAAATTTGGACTCGAATCGTGCGGGTCTTTAGCAAGGTTTGGCTGAACGGAATGGCTGTTGAGCGCGGGCTGTGGAATCAATGATGAGATAATAAATTTATGGGCCCTGGCTGAACAGCCATCGCGTTCAGCTAATCTGAATTCCATAATTCATAGAGGAGAAAGAGACTGAGAAGAGAGAGAGGAAAATGGCGGCATCGTCACGGGTGTCGAGCAGCAACAGCAACGACATCGGCATTACCACCACCTTTACCTCTACCGCCACTTCAACGCAACAGCGTTCAGAACCACCGAAGAGCTTGCGCGGCCTTAACAAGCGCATGAGCTCTAAGCAAGGCAACTTAGCCCGTTCCAGGTTCATCAAACTCTCACATTAATGATAAATGATATGTTATAAAGGGAAAAACGAAGAAAAGAATGTAAATAGTCGTGCCCCGGAAATCCTATGGTTCTCTTTTAGAGTTTCTAGAGATGATTTTGTCTCCGTGGAATAGCAAAAAGATGTATTTATAGATCAAGGGTTTGAATGTACTGAGTTCCTTATTCAGTTTGTTCTTTCAGGTATCAGTTTAGCTCGACTGCGGACTATATGGTTGAAGCGATATATTGAATTGGGAATTTTTTTTTTCTTCTCCTCCATTTTTCTAAGTTTGTATGTGCTTACAATATTATGGTGGAGTGGTGATTATGTTTCTTTCTATGAGGTTTATTTGTTTCATAAATTGGAACTCTGATGTGTCTATCTTGGGTTATTGCTATTGAAAACCTAGCAGAACTAGAAAATTCCGTGGATTTGCGATGTTTTTCGAATTGGTATTCTTTTAGACGTTAGGGCTTGTTACATCTTCATTGAACAGTAACCTACTTACTGATTTTGACTCTTCATGGCGATACCGATACCATTATGTCCATGTAGACCTATCAGTTCATCTTATTGTACGTTTTTCCCCGTTTATGGATTCTTGTTAATGGTGCAAGCAGTGTTTTAGAACTCAAGAATCGACTTGACCTACTAGGATGGACTAGTATCTGGGACTGGTCCCAAATACTCAATTGATACCTTATCTGCCCCATATTATCAACATAATTATGGGTTCTTTGGTTTGACTTAGACACAATTAGTGGAAAAATTATACTTGAAAGAAACGACCATGGAATAAGATTTTAGGTAATCCTTCAAGTAGGTAGGACTTAGGAGAGAGTTATCATAATAAGGTGGAAAGGAGAGAAGTTGGGGTCTGTTGTATGGTTTAGTGTGTATTTCAAAGTTGTATTGGTTAGGTTGTGCTGGCTATATTGTACAAAAGGAATGCAGGGTGGGGGCCAAATTGGTTTGAAAAAAGTTAAGGGTGTGCTAGGATTTTGAGGGTTAATTTGTACTATTGGTTCATGGAGTAGGTATTATGTTTTGATTGAATTAAGAAGTTGGTAGGGGGATATGAGTTAAGGATTTGATTGTTCTTTTGATGATATATGGTTTTATTAAGCTGAAGGTGTATTGGTAGGGTTTTGGTGTGGGGGTGTCTCAGTGATGCCTTATCATCTTTGGTTATATCTGTTTTCTATTTTTCTTTTTTAATGATTTTTTACTATAAAAAACTTTCTACATAAAATTCTGGTGGTGCTTTCTAAGAAAAGTATTTCATTCAGATACTGTACAAACTTTTTCTTTTGAAACTGTAAAGTATTTCATTAATGAATACAAAAAGCATAAGGCTCCCCTGTACATTCAGATACTGTACAAAGGGCATGCAACCAACCACCCTGATATGTTTCAAAACACAGCTAACCTCGAATGCAGACCCAGAACTGACCACTGACCCTTTGTAATGAGGTTGGATTGATTCATATCTCTCGGGTTGATCGAGGCTATTGATAGCCCTATCTAGTAGTGGTAGCATGTATGAGATTATCCTAAATGTCCTTTTCCCTGTGGATCAAGGAAGTGCTTGGTCATTTGTATCGGAGATTCTGCTTCATTTGAAAGACACCTAGAAAACCCCCTTGCTGTGTAGCTTATCTCATAACTGATTTAGAGTTCTCCCTGTTTGTTTGTTTGTTTATGAATGATTAAAGAGTGTACTAGATATATTTATAAAAAAAAGAGTGTACTAGATATATAAATAGATAAGAAAATTGGCTATTTACAGAAAATTTCTATTTAAAACTACCTCTCTTGGCCATTATTATCCCTTAAGGCGAGGAAAGTAATATTCCTCTCTTTGGGATTGAAAAACTGATCACCATGGTTTGTGGTTAGGGATGCAACTTGGGTCTCTTTGGCCTGACCTATTAACTCGGGCCAATCTGAGTTGCACTCCTATTTGTAGTATGTTTTTTTTTTTCTTTTGTTCTGAGAAAAATATGGTGTATCAATCCTATGTATGTATATGTATATGCATGTGTTACCGATCAATATGAATTATGTATGTACATATTTATGTATTTGATATGTAAAATAATAGCTCTGGGTGATAGAACCTTGTGTTTTTGTGTATGCCTCTTCTGAATGGATTACCCCCTTGCTTTTGTTTTCACTTCTTTAAAGTAAATTGAAAGATACACTTTTTGGTCTGGATTTTGGTTATTTGGTTGGTTTTGCTGCTTTATGTGGAGGTTTTTCTTCGTTTCACTTATTGCATTGAAATATTTTCTACTAGACTTACAGGTGGGAATTCTCCATTGGGAGGCAGTGTTTGAAGATGCATATTATCATGAAAGTCGCATCCTCACCAGTCACCAAGAAAAGTAAAAGGCAACCTTTTCATTCATGTATCCTGCTGTTCATGTTATTCTTTCCTTTTTTTTGGGGGTGTGTCAGGCCATTCAGTTAGTGAGCTGCACTGATCTACCAATCAGATATTATTTTTTACATGAAATTAAGGGCAACTGGCCTAGTTGGCCACCAAATTCCCTAGACAGCTTAACAGCTCTAAAGAATAGGGCAAATATGACTCTAAAACCTCAATGGATGGAATTCTTTTGCAAACGTGGATGGGAAACATGAACTTTTTACTGCTCATACTGCTTATTTTATAAAGGGGGTTGAGATGTTTTTTTTTATCAATAACAGAAACAATTCGTTAATGAGAAATAAGAGATAGGTATAGAAGTAGGGGGAGATAAACTCTCTTAACTCCCCCAAAATTAAGAGTTAAGACATTACAAACAAGCCCAGAACAAATGATTTCTTCCCACCCCTTGTTTGGCTAGTGCATCTGCAAAGGAATTGGCACATCTCTTAACCCATTGTACCCTCACTGTCATATCCCGGGTTAGCCATTTAAATACTCTCTTTTCATTCAGGTAGCTCCACATGCTTCTCTCCTCTTTTTGCAACCAGTCTATTACCAACTTCAAATCTCCCTCAATAATCAACCGTCTTAAGTTAAGCTCCTTGGCCTTTTTGGCACCTTCTGAGACTGCCAAGACTTAAGCTCGGACTGAGGGATCCTTCCCCAATTGGGCCTGAGAACATGGCAACAATCGCACCCACCTCATTCCTAAAGACCCCTCTAGTGCCTGAGGGGCCGGGGTTACCTTCACTACTACCATCAAAATTCAGCTTCCTCTTTTTAACGTTTGATGATCAAACTATTAAATATGCAGTAGCTGCTGTGCAAAAGCTCAAAATCCATGTCATTTACATGGTATGCGTAATAGTTATCATTAAAAAAATGGTTCCTTTTTATTTATTTTGTTTATATTTTTGAGGTAACATGATTGTGTTGTATTTATGAGGACAAAAAAAATTAGGGATGTTAATGGGTGAGGTTTAGTGCCAGTTTGCCCCCAACTTAGCCCAACTTAACAAATTGTAATTCTTGAACCTGCACTGACCCTATAACACCCCGATATTGACCTAACCTGACCCAACTCACAAATCACTAAGTACATTGTTTTTTGTCCAATTGATATTTCATTTTTTGCTTTTCTTTTATGTTATTAATTACTAATTAGAGTCTTTTGATTGCATTTTTAACACATTTTGACAATCCAATAGCCATTAAAAAATTTCTTTGTGGTTATTACATTATCTAGGTGTTTCAAATTCTATCTCAATTCTCACATAGTCAAAACACTTGGGAGGAATGGCTATTGAGGACCAATGTCCAATTAGGAGGATGTTTGGAAGTGTGGCCGTTTTTCTGAAAATGGTGCCACGTCGGATCCACATAGGCATTTCAACAAACGCCCATATACATGATTGTTTGGTTCAGGCGTTTTTTGAAAAAACACTTTAACCATAGGCATGCCTCGTAAATCGGAACCTCACTGATGCATGAAACGTCAAATTTGGCGTTTCATGCATCGGTGAACCGTTGCCCCCAACGGTTCACTGAGATGGTGAATACGTGTATCCTACATGGCGCTTACCTGTAAGATGAATTGGGACTAGTGGGAATGTTCCGATGCTTTTCGGCCCACCGGAACATTAACCCAACGAGTGGTAGGGTTAGAATGTCACTTGAACATTCTAACTCTTTCTTCTTGCTGCCGAAAGTTCTCTCCTCTCATAGACAACCTCTGTAACCTCTACTCGTTTCTTTGTCACTGCCGTTGCTGGAAGAGGTTGGTTGTCACCAGAGGAGGTTAGTCATTGCCAGGAGAGGTTTGTTTTTAGATTTTTTTTCCTTTGTGTAAACTTGTTTTCTCTATGTAAACTCATCGCCGAAAGTTTTTCCTCTGTGAAAACTCGTTTCTAGACTTTGTTTTATGCAAAAAACAAACAAAACTGATGTTGGTGAGATAACTATTTTTCTGCTTGACTACTTTTACCATTCCTCCATTATTTCTAAGCCTCAGCATGCGTCTTTTATTGGTTCTCCTTTCCTTTAGTAAATGTTACTTCTACAATGCAACAAGAAGAAAATTATCTTTGACTGCTATAGAATATCTTGATCCAAACTTTTCCTGATCCCTTTCACTTCTACTAGCATTGCTTGGATGTTAAAAGGCAAAAAATCTATTTTAGTTCCTTATTTTCTTTTTTTTGAATGATGCATATGTTGTTGTAGCACCTCCATTTGTATACATTGATCATGTAAAGAACTCATTAATAGATCGAATTAAGATATCTGCTCAGAATTCTTGGGTTGGAAAGTCCCTTAGTGCCTAGTAAAGAACTCATTAACTGATGTCTGTATCATTATGTTGCTTGCAACTTATGAAAGTCCCTGTTTGATTTGAAGACTCTGCTTTAATGTGATGGTTGATTGATAAATTAAAACATAATATATCTGATCCAAACATCCTCAACACCAGACTCTGTCCCTTAGTGCTCCATGTTCTCTTAATTAGAATAACATCCCATTCATGTACTCCACTGGACCAAGAACATCTTCTCTTCCTTCAAGAACCCATGAGTGACCGCTTAGTATTTCCACCACATTTCCAGGCAAGGGAAGGATAAACAGGTAGAGACTTTTGTTGGCCAAAATGTTCCCTTCCACCACCTCTCTTTGAATGGCAATTTAAATTAGGTGTTTTCTGGTAGAAATATTGCTATAGAAGGAAGTTAAAACCCTACTTAGATGGTTTGGATATTGATTGACAAAAGAGACTGCATATTTTGGTATGTAGAGGATATTTAATAGGATAAACTTACTCCACTTTTTCTTTTTTCTTTATAAGTAACCTTACTGGCATATACGAAAGTCAAATAGCAACATATCTGTTCAAGCTGTAACAGGCAATTCACAACCTAAAGTAGGTATTCATTTCCATCAGTTTGTATAGTTGCCTCCACTTCTTTATCTCAAGAGATATCAATCTCTTTGGGTTGGATTGGTGCAATGTCTAGCTTTTGATACCATAATACTTTTAGAAAGATTTACGATAGGTTTTCCAGATTTGTTTCTTTGATAACCAAAATTGTATTAGGTTCTTTATTCCCAACTCTTTTTTTTTTTTCTTTTTTTTTAGATGGATTCTTTATCCCCTTCTCTTTTTTGTAGTAAAGTCTGATTTATCAATAATAATTACCACCTACATCTAAATTATGTTTAACTCCCTACATATCTGCTTTAACTGATATATCACAATTGAAGCAGTCTTAAAGCTGGCGCAATATTGCCGACTACATACATTCTTCAATGATGGTTGGCTTTGATTGAATGTCATGTTGCTACCAATGTAAAGACAACTGTATTTCAATATTTAAATAATTTCACTTTTTTGAGATCTTCACTTAATTGTTTTCTAATCCATTGCCATGATCAGCAGAACTTGACTGCCAATATAAGTTAGTCAAACACTCATGAATTAAGTAACTTCATCACTCATGAATTAAGTCACTTCATTTTTTAGTTACACTCTTCCATTATCTCAATCTTAAGTTAGCCGCCTACTTTATGGCCTCTCCCTCCCCCTTTAATTACTCTCTTTAGATCCACGACTTTACTCTCTGTAAATCCCAACTCCTAACATGTAACTTTTTTCCTCTACCAGATCTCTAGCGAGGAAAAAACTTAATGTTCATCTAATGCCTCATTGAGAAATTCTATAACTTTTCTTGAATGTCTGAGGAAAAAACCTTTAATGTGATGGTTGATTGAAACACATTAGATATGACACAAATGAGTAGAGAAACACATTAGATATATTATGTTTTAATTGAGGATTTGTTTGTTATGTTAGTATTAGAAATGGTTGGTTGATAAATTGCATAACCCATTAAAGTCTTTAGAGCATTATTCACAATAACAAAATTAAGCTTAGCGGGTTTGATGGCAGGATGGCAACCGAGTTAGATAGTGAAGAACTCAAACTAGGTCTCGATTGTGCGCAGTGGTCTGATGCAGAGGAGGAAACCTTCATTAATCTTATAGTGGACCAAGTTAGGGCAAACAATAGTCCTACATCTTCCTTTAACGCAGAAGGGTGGAAGTACATACGTCAAAAATTTAACGAGAAACATGACAGGAGTTATGTCCATGCTCAGTTCAAAAACAAGTATAATGTACTTAGACAGCGTCGGAAGCGGTACTTAACCCTCCTTAACTATACAGGTGTGATTGTAGATCCATTGACAAAAAATCCTACCTCAAATGAAGAAGTCTAGCAAAGCCTGATGAAGGTAATTTGCCTTAAACCCACTCATTTACTTTTAATTTAGAATGTTATAAAACCTAATCAATTCCTTATATTGTGTAGACTCATCGTTGGGCACGATCATTTAGGACACAAGTTTATCGTCATTGGGATGAGTTAAAATACATTTTCAGAGGAACACAAGCAACCAGGGACATATGATGCTCTCTTGAAATGGGTCTTAATGATCATGTCCCAATTTCAGATAGCCCACCACCAGTTGTCATGTTAGATGATCAAGGGACACCAATAACTGGGGAATCTCTTGCCAGTCCATACACTGTTGACCTCACCGATGATGTATTGGAGATGCCAGACCGTAAGAAGAGAGTTGGCAACCCACCCACTAGCATGAAGAAAGGGAAGAAACAATGTCTTCCACCCGGACTTGATTTAATGATAATTTATGGGTAGAGTCCAACAAGAAGAAACTTGAACTATTAGAAAGGGAAAGCTCATGGGAAATCAATAAGTAGTAGGAAATGGAAATGGAGAAGGAGATTGCAATACAGAGGGAAAGATTGATAGGATTAGAGAGGTCAAAGGTTCGAGAAATGAATGAAAGAAATTTAGAAAGAGATAGACTTGACAAGGCTTGTGAGAAGGAGGAAATAGAGGAATGCATTGAAATCCTTAATTCCATATTACAGGTTGAAAAATTATCTCCAACATGATATTTCAGGGCAACCAAGTTGTTTATGGAAGAGAAATGGAGGAACACTTTCCTCGTTAAGCCTACAAATTTTAAGAGTTTTAGGTTCCATGGATTGAACGATGAGCCATCAAATCCATGATTTCTAGAAGACTTTTTATTTCTTTTTGTGTTTGGTTGAATTTGAACACTTTTTGGAATGATTGGGTTTTTTATTTTTTTTGGTAATGGGTGATGATCTCTAATGCACTCCCATTTGGACTGATGAATTTTTTTGTTACATGTTGGTATTTACATGATTATATGCTAGTTATAACCATGGTGTTTGATGTTTATTTTGATTTCATTATAATGTTGTAGTTTGTCATACATCAATATTCTATGGATATGGTGCCATTATTCACGCTGATGCTGTTGATCTATTCCAACATCATTTTCAACCGTTGGATTTAAAATTTTAGGCCAGATATTATAAAACAACCATCCAATTAATCTGGACCATTTGATAAGCATCGTTATACAATTTGGTATGACGTTAGCGCGCATCATCTTACGGAGTAATGTGTGCACATACATGAAAAACAGTGATGAAAATCACCTTACCAAACAGCATAGTGTTGCTCATTGCCTACGTGGTAGAAACACTCTCAAACAAAATCGAGGCTTTTTTTGTGAAAAACGGGTCTAACAAGCATGGGCGGTTTTTTTGAAAATTGGTCCCAAAAAACGCCTACGCTTCCAAACACCATCTAGATGTGAAAAAAGGGTAATAAAAGTGATATAATTGTTATTTATACATATCATGGTCCATGTGTATAGGTATTTTTTTTTATCAGAAAAGACTTATTAATAAAAGAGAAATATTGAATTACAATAGTTATAGGTTGTAGTAATGCACTACCCCAATCTACAAACACATACAAACAATTAAAGTTCTGCCTAGCTCAAGTTAGATCTATTTGCCCCTTACTTTGCTAGGGTTTTCGCCAACCCATTTGCAGTCCTTTTGACCCAATCAAACTGAGAGTTGAACCTCCTTGCAAGTATGTCAATTTCTTTGTAGATAAATTTGAGCTTCCAAGGTGCTGATGTGATGTTTTTAGTCCAAGAAATGACCAATGGTGAGTCTCCTTCTATTTCTAAATCTGTTGTTCCAATCTGCTCAACCATCTTTAAACCTTGAAGTAGAGCTAGAGATTCAGCCTGTATTGAGTCACCAATACCTATTGGTCATGAGAAGAGTTCCACAACTTCACCTAGATGATTTCTATTCACACCCCCTATACTTGCTAGCGGTGGCAATTGGGCGGGTTGGGTTGGGTATGGTTTGGGTTGAGTTTCAACCCAACCCATCTAACCCGCCAAACCATTAATGACCCAGTTGTATAAAATTAAATGGGTTGGGTTCAACCCAAACCCGCCCAAACCCATTAATCTTATATTTATGGACTTAAAAAACAAACAAACTATTTAGATCTGGATTAGTTGGTCATAGCTGGTGGTAATAGTACTTACTATTTACACAAGTGGTGAAGGTTCAAATCACATTACATGCATGTTATTTTTACACAAGCGGCAAATCCATTTGACTATGTTCGTATTTTGGGTTTGACCGAACCACTTAGGTTCAAACCGGTTAGACCAACTTGAACTATCTAATTGGATTATCTTTGAGCTAATCACATCAAGGGTGGTTGAACCATTTAGATCTGGATCAGTCCAGTTGGACTGGATCAGACCAGTTTAGTCAATGGTGGGTTGACTTGGATCGGACCATTATCAGGTTTGTGCACGGGTTTGGGACCGAACCGACATACTCGAAGCGGGTCAACGTAAGTAAATCGGGTCGATCCAGATTTGGCTCAGGTTGTGTGGATATTGGTCGGATCGGACGGTTTGGATCGGGCAAAGCATGCAGGCACCGAACCATCCTGCCCAGAACCATTTCAGATTCAGGTCGACTTGGACCGGCTTGTGCCAAGTCAGGTCGGTCTGTGTGAATGGCTGGACCGGATGACCCAAACCGAGTAGAGCAAGCGGTACCGAACCATCCCGCTCGGGGTCTATTTCAGATTTAGGTAAACTCGGACCGGTATATGCTGGATCGGGTCAAACCGCATTGAACTGGTCTGGACTCGTGTCAAATTGATTTGGATTTATGTTGGGTGAAATGTGTTGATTCAAGACAAAACTAAATTTAGTCAATAATTAATAGAAAATTAATGCATTAATTATAAAGTATTTAATTCAAATGAAGAAAAAAAAAGCTAAGGAATTAATACTTATGTCTTAATGGTTTACCCAATGGTTATCCACAACCCAACCCAACCCAACCCATTTAAATGGGCGGGTTGGGTGATGGGTCGATCACACAACCTAGCAAGTAAATGGGCGGGTTGGGTGAAAAATTGCCACCCCTAATACCTGCCCTTCCCGAGTTACCAAAGGAACTCCTGTCAAAGTTTAGTTTTAGTTTGTTCAATGTAGGTGGCTTCCATTCCGCTCTCACAACTTCTTTGGGTACATCTGTTTGTGCTACTTCAGTCCAGCTTCTTAGAATCTCATTCGTGGTGAAGTTTTTGAATAGTTCCATTGTCATCACCCAATGTGCAGTTCTGATTTTTATAGCTTCAATGACTTCCTCCTTTGATTTACTTTTTTAGAGAAGAGTCTTTGGTTTCTTTCCTCCCATATAGTCCATACCACAACAGCTCTTGCTGCCTTCCATAAGCACTTTCCTCTTTTCTTCTGTTGCCTCAGGAAGGAGGGGCTGAATAGACTTACCACATCCTGTGGGGGAGTTCATTTACATCTAAAGAGAGAACAAACGATTTCCCAAATACAAGAAACAAAAGAGCAAGATAAAAGTAAGTGGGGTAGGGTTTCACCGCAATCCTTACAAAGGACACACGTGAGGAGAGAGGCATTTGTTTGGCCTTCTTTTCTGTAGAACATCACAAGTGTTTACCTTCCCTAGGAACACTTCCCAATAGAAGGTTTGTACTTTAGGAGGGATTGGTTTACACCAGATTTCTCTCACTGGGAAGTTCACCCCCAAAGGATCAGAGTGAGTGAGCAAACTAAAGAAAGAGGCACAAGAAAATAAACCATCAGGAGTTGGGGACCAGACTCTACTATCAAGTGTAGTTTGGTCTAAATAGACCTTCTCAAGGGTTGAGAACAAAAGCAGTAGGGACTCACATTTATTTTCCCTCAGCCCCCTTCTGAAGCCCAAGCCCCAAGAGATACCCAAGTCTGAAAGCATGCCAACCCTAGCAACAGGTTTGTTTTCAAGGTTTGATAAAGAGTAGAGGTCCGAGAATTTAACCTTAAAAGGCAAATCCCCAACCCAAAGGTCTTCCCAGAATAAAACTTTATTGCATACTCAACATCAAAACAGGTAAATTGAAGAAAGGTTGGTAGTACCTCAAAGATTGCCTTCTAGGGGGAATTTGGAGCTGCATTGGAAGCTAGTTTTGGATCCCAGCCGTTTTTTTCTCCAGCATGAATGCTTTTAATGACTTTGGGCCACTACCTATCCTCTTCACAAGGGAATCTCCACAGCCATTTCCCTAGGAGGGCCTTATTTTTCTTTAAGATGTTCCCAATACCTAGGCCACCTTGCTCCTTAGGTTTACAGACTTTCTCCCACTTCACTAAACGATCCCTCTTTTCATCACTAGGTTCCCACAAAAATCTCTCATTATCTTCTCCAACTTCCTATTTTCACCGGGATCTTAAAGGTGGAAAGGAAATAAGTGTGCAGGTTTGCTAGGGTGGATTTTATCAAGGTGGTTCTTCCCTCCTAGGAAATATAACTTCTCTTCCACATTGCCAACTTCTTTGTGAATCTCTCTAAAACTGGCTTCCAAAGGCTTTCAGCTTTCGGGTTCCCCCCCACCCCCAAGGGCATACCTAGGTATTCTAGAGGCCATCTTTTCACTTCACAGCCTAGCAAATTTGCCATGGCTTGGATGTCCCCTTCCCCTATATTTATTCTAGCTATACAACTTTTTCCCCAATTCACTTTTAGTTTGGAGGCTTGTTGAAACTTGCCCACCAAAAATTTCAGAATCCTCAAACTAGATTCATCACAACTCTCACAGAACATGATTATATCATCAGCAAATTGCAAGTGAGGCACCACCATTTCTGAACTACCAATCCTCAAACCTTTAAACTGATTTTCTTGGTCAGCCTTGATGATTTGTCTACTCAAAACCTCAGCCACAAAGGTAAATAAGAATGGGGATAAGGGGATAAAAGGAGTAAAATCAAGCTTTTCTTCTTAGAGGTTGGTGGAGTTTGTATTTATGTAGGGGGAGTGTTATCAT